ACTCTATGCTCTGTTATAGTCAGGTCCTTTGTAAGTTCCAGAGAATCATTTAATCTTGAAATCTTGTGAGAGATATTTTGCCTTTCAAACCGAGAACAAAAGTGATTAAAAATGTTTGACAGATCAGCCTCAGCTACTCCAGTAACAGATTTCCTGTCTTCACCTACCTGTTTATTCATGCTGGCCATTGCTTTAATTCCAGGCTGTTCTAATTTTTCCTCTACAAAATTGTGGGGTTTTTTTTCTAATCACGGCAAGGCAGACGCTTTTTTCCCTCTCTTTTCAGCCTTCTCTTATCTACCCTGCTTTGCTGATTTTTTGAGCCTCCTTTACAAAATCATCCTAAACCAGAAATTATGGACCTGGTCAGCTGGTCTGTCAATGCTATTGATCAAATTTTTTTCTACACTGAAACTGGGAAAAGGAGACCCTTCGTGCCCTGAAAACACTTTTGCTGCTGGACGCATGCAAGACTCGTGGGGCGAGTGGAGGAACATGTGCCTAGCTAAATTGTCAATTGCGGACGTCAAAGATGCTTGGATATTTGGATTAATGATAGCTGGATTTCTACTGTTTGGCGGAGATGGTTATCTGGTACTGTATATTGGGAAATAAAGAAAGTGCTGGCAGCTATTCGGGCCCTGTGGAGACTGCCAACGCTCTGTGATGGTTTATGCCGGACCGTCAACACACAAACTGAGGCGCTGGGGGTGATGAAACGTAAGCTGAGTGCTGTCCTGGCGGATTGTAGACCAGCTGTGGTTCCGGAACCTGCTATGTGGAATGCTTAGACCCTGGTGAAGTTGGGCCCGGGATAAAAAGGCAAGGACTGACCAACAAATTTGGCTGACTGGAATTTTCGCCATTGAGAGTTCCAGTGAGACTTCAAAAGTTGCAAGCAAATCTTCTGTGTAAGCTTGTTCCAAAACAATTGTGATTGGTGATTTGGCACCCCCCTACTTGGCCTTGAAGGCTGGGTAATATCAAACTCTCCATGGTTGTTTTGTCGACTGACGCACGACCCACCCCTCCTCCCACCTCCTCCCACTCCCGTGTGTGAACCGGTTTCTGGGAGCACTGCTGAAGGTTGAAACAGATGAACAATAACATCACTAGCTACGTTTACATGGACATATGTAATCGGACTAAATAAAAATGCATCATGTAAACACCCCATTCGGATTATTCTGACCCGATTCAGCTTGATCTGAATAAATTTGTAATCGGAATGAGAGGAGCGGTTTATGCCGATTGATAATCCGAACGACGTGCATGTAAACACTTAATCTGATCATCTTATTCTGATTGTGGAAAACTGACCTGACTGTCTTCTAACTTTCATCTACCGGTTTCTACTCTTTTGAGGAGGGAGGGACAGCAGTACAGAACATCTCCTCCCGTTTTCTCATTCAATAAAGAAGGAAGACACACAGCCTGCGCCGTTTCACAAAAAAATTTAAAATAAAAAAAGTCAGCGTGTTACCTGCAGTAGTGTCTCCAATCTCCACCAGGTCCACTCTGAGTGCTCAGAAGCTGTTTGTTTATGTTCATGACAAAAGTAGAACTTTTTTCTGTTTATTATTATTATTTTAGGGACAGTTGCAACTGTCAGTGGTTCTATTCTGAATAAAAGCCTGGTGCATGTAAACACTCATCATGATTGGACTGTGCCCATGTAAATGATGCATTCCGATTATTTAATCCAATTACATTTCAATCCGATCAAAGAATTTTGTGCATGTAAACATATTTACTGTTCTGGATTATGGCTGTGCGGTGCTGTTCAGAGACTGGTCATCAACGATTTTATTTTCAGTTGCTCACGCATGTGCATACAACAGTTCATGGCTTCAGATACACTTCCTTTTTCTCTCGATGCCTTCGCTTGTGGCTGCCTGTGCTATCCCCCCTCCCTCACCCCCTCCTTATCCTCCACTCTACCTCGATCTTTGCTCTGCAGAGGGTTTTTTCTGCAAATACCACAGTGTGTCACTTTTTGTGATATAATATGATGTTTTGTTTTTTCCTCATCTATCCTTATGTGGTATTTTGTTTTTCTTTTAAGGGTAGCGCCTCCTCATGACGTTCTTTCATGATGATGATCCTTGCTCTGTGCAGGGGCTGCATGACCTGTGAGCACCTGTTCTCCAATGTTTGTTTATATTCAGTCTTGTGAACGGCTGTTCTGAACTGTAATTTCCCCTTGGGATCAATAAAGTATCATTCATTCATTCATTCATTCATTCATTCATTCATTCATTCATTCATTCATTCATTCATTCATTTTATGTTATTTTTGTATCTAATTTCGGCCTTGATAATTTCACTTTTCACTTCTCTGGGAGGGGGCATGGGTGCCAGTGACTGCAGCCATGAAGCGGCTGGCTTCTGTGCATGAGTAAAAAAGATAATTGCCAAATTATTGTGAGGAATAAAAAAAATAACGTCTCATGTTATGTCCTCGCAGGAAAAAAAAAACCTCTGCAGGAAAAAAAAAGCAAAAACATAAAAAGCATGACCAATTCAAAGCATGCTCGCAGAGATGAAATCTGTCCAAATCTTCACTTCCTTTTCTGTATCCTGGATTCGTCTAAAAGCGGGCTTATACACCGGCATTAAGTACACACTGTTGTGTTAGGATGCTCCTGGTGAAGGCATGAATTTCTTCAATAAATTATTTGTAATTCAAGTTAAATCATTTAAAATTACAACAGTTACAATTACTAAGTCATAGCACACTATTCCTGATCAAGCTGAACATTAAGCATATAAATGGGTAAAACAATACAAGTATGCAGAAGAGGTAAATAAACAGTTTGCAACATACAAATAAGACTAAAACAGAAAACTGTGAGTAGAAAAATTACATTTATACCAAAACATTAATGTATCTTTTAAATTTTTTTGTCTTTTTGTTTCCAGAAGATCGACCAATTAACCTTCGAGTGGTCAGTCAGAACATGCAGGAAGGCGACCTCCCATTGGGCAAGCAGCTAGCCAATGAACTAAAACGTCATCATAACCACAACAGCAGCTCAGATGAGACCAAAACACTAGCAACAGGTGAGTTATCTTGGATGTTCAGCTGGAACACAGAAATACCTTTTCCAGCTTTTGTTTTATTAACACAAACCTCTAAGCTAACAATGATGTCCTTTATCTCTGTCTTCAGAAAATGGGATGTCTCAGCGGACATCCAACACAGAAAAAAAGATCATCAAATCAGAGCCAGAAGACTCCACATAGTGCCTCCGGCCTCCCAACCAACACACCCTTGTAATTCTACTCACACTTGACCATATGCAGTTATTACTCATCAGTAGATACTAAGCAAGCACAGCCACAGTAGAGCCTTAACAACCAATGTTGCCTCATATGAATAGCATTTATTTTTATTTCCTTTAGCCTTTTTGTTTTTTAAAGTATTTGCCAAAGCACCTAGAGAGCACATCCAGACATCCCTCAGTGCTCTGCAGATCGTTGTGTGTTGGTTAGACGTTTGTGTCAATTAAAGTTTGTTCATCTGTAAACTCTTTACCTCAGCCCGGGAGCTGCTTTTGTTGCTTTCTGTGGACAACCAGGTGTCAGATGTCGCTGCCAAGGCTGAATCCTAATTCCAGTCTGAATTTACACGTGGAATTTTTGGGTGTGAATGCATATTTAAAACATAGGGGACTCTTGGCCTAACCTGCTGATATGACTGTACCAGGGGGGCACAGGTGCCATTAGACAAATTGTGCACGTACAGATGCAGTCTAAGCAATTCAAATTCAGTTTCTGCTGGCAAAAGTTTTTTTTCCATACATAAAACCCAAAACCATCTATAAATTAAATAGCACCTATTATGATCATCATCATGAGGCCTGAAGACCCTGTCACTAGACAACTTATGCTAACTTATGAAAATATTTTTATGTCTAAATTGCTAATAAAAGATTTTTATTTAAAATTAGTTAGATTTACACTGTGTACACATCTAAAAGCTTCCAATTGATTTTTTTCAATTCCATCTTCAACATAGATGTCTTTAAAATTTTCATAAGTTGGCGTAAGTTGTCTAAAATGTCATAGTGTGACAGGGCCTTAAAAGTGGCCATATCTAACACTTTACATAAAAAACATGGTTACTTTTGCTATAGCTTAGCAAGACATAGCAAACCACATTTGTCAATATTCTCTGAACTTCTTGGGTCAATTTATTTAATATATGATATAAGTCAAAGCTGCTAAACTAACCTCACATAAATTATGAAGCCAATATAATTCGTAGTTATTTCCAATAGTCTTTTAGAAGAAGCTTCATCAGCCCAGTGTGCAGAGGATGAAATTTCAGATAAAAATAATAATCAGAATTTAATCAAAACTTATTTTATTTTGATTAACAGCAGAAATGTTTGTGATCTGAGCCTTGCGCCCCCCTGTTAAGTTTCAGCCCCTGCAGCAGGTTGTTATTTTTACATTTTGTGCACACAGGAGAGGTAGGAAGAGTTCCTCATGACTCTGGTGTTTATTTCTGGGAGGGGATTTCTGAAGAGGATGTACAGGAGCTGTTGTGGAGCAGCAGCAGGTGGAACTCTGTCATTCAACTGCCACGCTGCAGGCTGAGCTAATTGCTTCATTTCACTTTGTAATTTAGCTAATCACTGCTGCTGAAGAGAACACTACACATCTACACATAGGGAAAATTTTGGGAACAAAATGGAGAATTTTTTTTAAAAAAGCTTGCAGGTATATGCTTTATTAGCAACAACTGCATAAAAGTGTTTACTGCTGATGAAGCAGCTGCAGCAGCCTGTATATATGAGAACTAGCCTAATCTGTCAGGGTCTCTGTGTCCAATGTAACTTTGCTGTAGATTTTTGGTGTCTATACAGTGTTTATGTGTGTAGAGCAAAAGCAAGAAAACAAACTTAATGAAAAAAAATCTAATGTTTGTGTCTGGTATAAAGGATGATACTTTTAGCCTAAGTTCTAACAGTGTTTGACCCACATGTGCAGATTACATACATGTTCTTGGTGTTTAGATGTAGAAACACAAAGCCTCTGTTTTTTTTCTGTGTAAATAACACGTTTTGTCTAAAATGATAATGACTTCTTTTCCTTGTTCCCTGCACATAGTTTAGTCTCTTTCTGAAAGCTCAATGCAATATTTATGTAACAAGTCAATTTACATCTTGATCTTTGCTCAGTACCTGTGTGTCTGTCATCACCTGCAGATTTTTAGGGAATAATGTTTTGTGTTGTCTCACTTTTACTTTGGATTCAAAACCTTCTTCAGGTTGTAAAACGTGATCGGTACTGGTTCTGATGGGTCTCAGAGAGCATCGTATTTTGTCACACCGATCTCTAAGGTTTCTTTTAAAGTGATAGATTAGGCCCCACCCACTTATGCACCTGTTTTTTAAACACTAATATATTTTATTTGTTATACAGCACATAAACATTAAACTTTATTTTTTTGAACTATATTGTGTTGTGTTTCCTGTTGTATGATCCAGATAAAATCTTTTCACATGGTATATTACTGAATACAAGTCTTGATCAAACCCTCATTTCTATTTTAGGTTTTCTTCCCAAGCAGTCAGAATATCTCCTGATACTTCAAAGTAGTCTGAATCAGGAGTTCTCTGGATTTTCCTTTGAGTTGAAGCTGTTTTTCAAAGGAACATTGTTGTTTTTGTTGTGAAATGAAGGATGACTCCAGACTTTTGTTCAGTTGTGTGAGCTTCTTGCCACTCTTCAGTCATGAAGGTGAATCTGATCTTCTAGACCCAAACCAGGTTTGTTTGATAAAACTATGAGGAGCAGAAACACCTGCTCTGTTTATCTTTTCTCTACTTTTAGATGAATCCCTGTGCGGGCCATGATTTGCATTCGCGTCACATCAACACATTGTGAAAGTGGCTCATGAGTCACTCTGACGCAGGTCCTTCTCTCACACACCTCCCATCATCCTCTGCTTCCTCCATCTTGCGCACCAACCACCCCTCCACCACCACCACACACAGACACGTAGACAAATTTTCTCTGGAGAAAAGCTCGGCTCATGAACGCCCACGCTGAGCTCTGCTCACAGTCGCAACCCGGCCCCTCCCCTCACCCGTCCCCCTCCTCTTCCAGCACAAGCCATGATCATCATCATGATGTGTTGCCATGGGGACGGCAGAAGGTGGGCGGCGGCTCCACTGGCAGTGGGCGGAAGCCATCCGCTGAGCAGCGTGGGAGGGATCTGCAGCCATCATCCTCATTTTAAAGGGAGCAGGAAGCTGACTGCTTCTGAGAAGGTGTGGGCGTCAGTGAATTATCACCTCTCCTCCCTGCAGCTTCATTAGGATTGCCTTGTTTGTCTCCTTCCTTCCTTCTGTTTCGTGCTGCAAACAGTAAAAAATGAACAAGTGAAAAAGTGTCAGTTTGACACCAGTTTTAACAAGTTCTAGACTTAATTTTTATATTTTATATATATTATATTGTTTTTTTAAATAGTTTTAAAGGGACTGTGGACCCTTTGTGTTCAAAGAATTTAAATAGAACTAAACAACTGCAACAGTTTGTCTTTGAACAGGTCAGGTTAAGTTTGGAATGTGCTTCAGGCATGTTTGGACACATTAAACTTTAATCCTGCTGATTTTATCTTTAGAAACTCACAATTCCTTGGCATAAAGCTATGTACATCAATGTGTAAACTCCTCTGTGGCAGCTGCACAAAAACAACTGATATTTATCGAAATTATGACAAATGAAAATGATCACCTCTTCACTGGGGCAAAAATTTCTGCCACCACAGCTTGGAGGTAAAATAACAATTATCAGCCAACATCTCTCCACTTTTATTAACCCCTATTCATTAAAGAACCAGTGTTTTCAAGAAACCTGTATTATTGTTCCTCTTTATGTCAACAAATGATCTTTAAAAATCATGATCTAACATGTTTATTGTTTCTGTGGAAAGCTGAGCATCATGTTAAACTCAGTTTAGATCTAGGGATTTTCTCTCTTATTTTCTGTATGTGCTAGGTCAATACTGGAGAAGATAGGCCTGCAAGGAAAGGTCACCCCCTTGCAGGCAAAAAAGTGGGACAATTTAATATATATATATGTATATATATAT